TGCATGCTAAGTTATAAGAAAAAAATGATAACAGCCGTTCTCACTCTTTGGATAAATTGTACGAGATTTTGATACGAATCATGAAATTCTATAAACATAACACATAATTATTATGGATTTGCATGTCTAGTACTTAAATTTTTTTACTTGTATTTATAATTTTTTGATGTCACAAAAATATTCATGAAATAATATTTTAAATTTTAAAAAAATTAATAATTATATTATTTCTAATGTGAGGTTAAAAAGTTGGTGTTATGTAAATAAATGTGAAAGTTTAAATGTTAGATATATACAAATATAAAAAATGTGCGGTATGTATGTAAATACTCATAATATATATAGTACTATACAAATCAAAAAAGGTCTGCCAAACTACCGAACTATCAAATTGTTAAGCTAACAAGTTGTTAGAATTCCACTATACAAAATGATATGATATAAAATGCATGACATGTCATAAAATTATAGGACATGACATAATTTTACCTGTTATTATATATATATATATATATATATATATCTGTGTGCGTACATATGCGCGCACTGTGTACCTCGACCTCTTGGTTGGCATCCTCGGTGCAAGACCCCTCAAGTCGGGGTTTTGAATCTCTGACAGAGTTGGAAAGATGTGATACTTGAATTGTTAAACACATTAAATGTGGTGTAGGCTCGTATAATAAACATTGGTCATTTCTTTATATATATATATATATATAGATTTTAAAAAAAACAATATATTATCTAATCTTTTTTATTTAAATGACTGACATCTAAATTGAGAGAAGGAACATCAGCATTCATCATTCTAGATTAATAACCAATACAATAACTTCAAGACTGAATCATATAATTTTATGACTTTGGGATAGATAATGCACAAGAAAATCTTAAATATTTCTTTTTCCTTTTAGAGGATGGGTGATGAAAAGTTGATACATAAGTTGCCCTTATTGTCACTTTATAGAAAAAAAAAATGAGAATTTCCATCAGATAGCTCCTAATCCAATCCCTTTATTTCTTTGTTAAAAAATCTCTTCCCACCACCCACTTCGTCCAAAAGAGCAACTAAAACAAACAATTTTCATTTTCCAACTGAGCAGGCACATTTTCACATAATCCAATCCCTTCTCAGTAACTTATGATATCCTGCATAAATCATTCCATTAGTTGTTCATCTAACCTTTTTTTGAAGCTTGATAAAAAAGCAAAACTTCTGTGATTTGGCTCTCTCTCAAAATTCATCTCATATTGTTTGCTTCCAATCTCTTGTAACTATAAGCTTCATTCTCAAAGCCAAAAAGCTTTGCTTCATGCCTCAACAAGTTTCCTTGATCTTCATAACTTGCCTACAACAAACAGATATTGTTGATTGTAGGTAGAATGGAAAATGAAGATATTAGTAAAAGCAATGCCACAAACCTTATGCCCTTGTTGTGCAATGTACTTTAGATTGCCCTTTAAATCCTGGCATCAAATATTTCAAAAAAAAAAAAATGTTACCATGAATAATAATGTATCTTATTTAGAAAACTTCGCTTGCAAGAAGTAAATGTATAAGAACCTTCGTATATCCATGCAAAGGCCATAAAGGTGTTGCCAGACTTTTGGAAGATTGTGGTACTTCAGAGTTTAGAGAGAGCTTAAAGTCCAACATAGGATGCAAGAAAAACAAATAGCAAATTATAAGCGGATAAAAGCATAGTGTTAAGTGATCTCAGGTTTCGTAGAATGGTACTAAAACAAAAAAAAAAAAAAATTCCTTTGATGAAAATGATGTTAATAAAGTGAAAACCAAAAGACACAGGTGGTCCAGCTTAGAAACATTAATTGGTAAAGATGTAATAACCGCATGACATTATTCACCTTGTTAAAAAGTTCAGTCGGTAGATCTAGCTGGCTTCTTTTGTTTGTTGAAAGGTTAAATTCCTTGGTCACAGGTGAAAAGGATGTGAGAGCAGAGAAATGCACAACAAAAGAATTCATAGAGAACGCGGAATTACCATCGGTTTAGTAGTTTCTCGCTTGGAACAACGGAAGACACCAATATCTCCCCTGCTGGACAAAATCTGCAGATGAGGATGCGCACAATTTCTCTATTTCAGTAAGGCATACTCCAAAACTCTCAGACATCCAATAACCACCACCAAATTGTATATAATACTATATTGACTCATAAAAATGTAAATAAATCATTGATAAAACGAAAAAAAGCATTTGAAATTTATGATAATGAAGGAAAAGGGAAAAGGCAAAATCATTCTTTGAATTACCTTCTTATTAAGGGGTCTAGCTGTAAACTTGGGCTGAATGTTTTCATCATTATAAAACCTCTGATTATCTCTACATTGAAAAAATGGAATACTTTTAAGAGCTAAGCACTTCCAAAGAATATCTCAATCCAATGTAGAGTAGCGATAACATTATAGAAAGGCAGAGCCTGAAGGTTAAACTACGAACAGACATAATAAAAAAAGGGAAATTTGCAAATTTTGGAACTTTTGCACAGTTTTAATCAGTTATTCTCACACCCCCAAAAAATTGTAAATTAGTTATTATTACCCACCAAACCACCCTAAAAAATAAATAATTCAAAACTTCCATATTATTGTAATAAGAAAAGCATGTCAAATTAATTAATAGGGGCATTTGCATACATACCACCCAATTTTTATGTATGTACATTTCTACACCTAAAGTTTAATTTCTACATTTATACCACCCAAATCTTTCATATCACATATAAAAAATACCACTAATTTCATTTTTAAAAAGTAGAATACACCTTTTTATGCATAGGTAAGGTGGAAAATATGTGAAAATTGAAGTTTAGGTGTTAGATTTGTAAATACATAAGAATTGAGTGGTGTGCATGTAAACCTTCCTAATTATTAATTAATGACAAGAGATGAGCCATACGCTTAACGAACTGATGAAAATAATGACCACTATTTTACTGGCCAAATTGTTCTTTACAATAACATTCAGAACGTCTCAATGAATTAATTAAGCATGACACTCATGCAGCTTTAGGGCAGAAAGTCATAAGGTTTGGGGGAGTTCAAAATTGCATGTAAAATAAGCAGCAGTATTGTTGTAATAGCCCATCCTCAATCAAAAGAATAGGCATAACCATTTCTACAAATAGAATTTGTATCTTCATGAATCCTAATATTGAAATCTATAAATATGCATGTGATCTAGGGGTGTAACTGAGTCGAGCTGAATCGTGAGCTAGCTCGATTTAAACTCGATAAGTGGCTTAGGAGTTGAGCTCGATAAGCTAACAAGCCAAGCTCAAGACAACTCTTACTCTGCTTGTTGAGCCAGCTCGTTTAAATCGAGATACTCTCTTTAATTTTTTAAAAATGCTTAAAAAAATATTTAATATTTTCTATTTTATATTTTATATTTTATATCAAATGATATCTTTTTATTTATCTCCTAATTGTTCATTCTATTTGTTATTTTATTGGGGCATTACATAAATAGCACACAATTCTTATGTATTTACATCTCTCACACCTAGACTTTTATATCTACACACACATAGCACACAAATCTTTAATATCACATCCAAATAATATTATTATCACTTTTTATAAGTGAAATACACATTATCATGCATATGTTTAAAGCATCAAAGTGCTATGTATGTAAATATGAAAACTATAGTGTGAGATATCTAAATACATAAGAATTGTGTGTAAAGTATGTAAATTTTCTTATTTTATTATGGCCTAGCTTGAATTAATATGTTTTCTCTCTTTCATAAAAAACAAGCGGACTCGTGAGCCAACTCTAACTCGTATGACTAAGCTCGAGATCGATAAACTAATCAAGCTCAAACTCAAGTTAAGGGTGGCTTGAGCTCGATTTGATTCATTTACACCCCCAATATAATCATATACATGGATAGCAGGTAGAATTACCCTAACGCAAATTGAGACTGGTTACATATGCCTACAGAACATACAACGAAAGTAAGATCCACACATAATTCTTTAAGATTCAAACTCAAATCTAAAGCAGAGAAGATTAGAATAAAAACTGTACAGTGAACTGTTAAATTAGACTTACAAGACAGATCTTGAAACAATAGAAGAATGGCGCTGGAAACATTTCAAGTTTGATTTAACTCCATGTTCACTAGAGCTGCCGGGGGCATGGTTGTTTGCAGACTGAAAGGGGTGCAATCCGGAAATTGGAACTTAAAAAACAGTACTCAACTTTAAAAAATTTTAGAACTAATTAACTCATGAATGTTAGCCATATATCCTTTATATTATGGCTAAACAGATACCATATAAATTAAAGTTAAACAAAGAAAGAAAAAAATTACACATAAACCACAGAATAATAAAAGGATACCAGTGATGATGAAGTAGCTGCAGAGTGTTTAATGTCTCTCTCTGATGACTTTAACTTAAAATTCTGAGCAAAAATGTACCAAAAGAACTCAATAGCAGCAATACAATATGATATTGTAGAGCATTAAAGCTGCAAAGGAGACTGTAACAAGGCAATAAAACTACTACGAGGAAAGTTCAAAATACCAACTTTAAATTCTCGCAATCTTGGCGTGCTTTTAAGGCAGCTAGGCATTGAGGGCGCCTCAAGAATCTGTGTAATTATCATGGCAATTTTTTGTTAGTAAGCGTTTTTCATGTTCTTTTTTTTTTTGTGCGCATTTACATAAATATCACCCAATTCTTATAAATTTACATATTTAACACTTAAATTTTACTTTTTTTCATTTATACCTTCCAAATTCTTCATGAAAATACCACCATTTTAACTTTTAAAATATGAAATATAGTGTTTCATGCATAGGTAAGGTGGCATATATATGTAAAAATTGAAGTTTAAATGTAAGTATGTAAATGCTAAGATTGCGAGTAAAAATGTACTAACAGAAATACAATACGATATTGTAGAGCATTAATACTGCGAAGGAGACTGTAACAAGTTAATAAAGCTAATACTAAAAAAGTTCAAAATACCAACTTTAAATTCTTGTAAACTTGGCGTGCTATTACGGCAGCTAGGCACTGTGGGCGCCTCAAGAATCTGTGTTGTTATCATGATGAGTTTTTGTTAGTAAGCGTTTCTATTTTTTTTTTATTTTTTTTTTGGGTGAGCATTTGCAGAAGTACCACACAATTATTATATATTTACCTATTAACACTTAAATTTTACTTTTTACATTTAAACCATCCAAATTCTTCGTATCACATAAAAAATACCACTATTTTAACTTTTAAAATATGAAATATAATTGTTCATGCATAAGTAAGATGGCATATATGTAAAAATTGAAGTTTAAGTGTTACATATATAAATGCATAGGATTTGTTTGGTAGTATGTAAATCTTTTTTCCAGGGGCATTTACATACATAACACATAAATTTACATATCTCACACCTAAACTTTAATTTTTACACACACGACACACAAATCTTTAATATCACATAAAAATAGTAAAGTGCTATGTATGTAAATATGAAAGTTTAGGTGTGAGATGTGTAAAAACATAAGAATTGTGTGCTATGTATGTAAATTTCTTTTTTTTGGGATGTGTGAGAGAGAGAGAGAGGGAGAGGGAGAGGGAGAGGGAGAACAACATGCTGTCTAGAGATATTGTTCCTTAAGATGGAAGAACTACCTTTCTATTAAGAGGATGTGAATTAAATTTTGATTTTGCTGGGGTCTTTTCTTGTGATTTTTTATCAAGATTTGACCTGAATCACCACCAGTTAAAGAGTCAACGAATTTTGAACAAAATTTTACAGCCAAGTAAGCAGTATAGCCAGATGATGTATAACATAGCCGAAACCTATGTACTCTTATCCTCTGTGCCCGCTGTGCTGTTGCTAGTTCTGGTTCTCTTGGAATGGTGAGCCTGAGTTTAGAAGTAGATGTTTTGTTACTCTGGAACAAAATATATAATGCGATGGATTAGTGAAATTGAAGTTTACTCTAGCGGAGGTTAAAGAGAGCAAAAAAAAAAGCCATCCTACTAAAAAGGTTGTAGAATAAGAAGAAATATAAAGAAGAGGCAAAACAAGCTGACAATAAGTTTCATTTAAAAAGAACAAGTATCAAATTGTTGAAGCTAATGAAACTTCCAGAATATAAAAGAATTAACGACTTCAGCAAAAGCTTACATTTTTTGGAAGCTTGTGCATCAAATCAATTTGTTGCTTCTCGGTAGCAATCTGCTATGCCAAAAATGGAAAAATTAGGTATAGTTGCAATTACAAAAACATGCTAAAGATTAACATAACTATGAGAAGGAACGAAAATAATATTAAGTAGACATTAAATATGAGGTAGCTCTGAATCTTCTCAAAATAAGGAAGCAAACCAAGTGTTTCTCAAATGGAAGCAGCGGAGTCCTTATTAGCTCAATCAAAATGAACAAGTTGATTAAATAACTCAAATAAAAATTTGAGAGCACAACCTTATACACGTATAAAGCTTTTTGCTCATAACCGGTCACAAAATACGTAAAGAACATGACACGTGGCTCGGGAGAGGACCGGCCGGTCCTTAAGGGAGAGAAGCTGTCGCCCCCTCTTTCCTCTTCCCCCTTTCCTTTCCTCTCCTTTCCTCCATTTCCTTTCTTTTCTTCCAAGCACTTTCTTATTTTAAGTCCTTTGCTAATATTTGAAATCATGTTATATTTTCTTCTCCTTTCATCATTTAAAAACATTTCTTACTTTAAGTCCTTTCAAAATCTGAATTTTAATTACTTTATTTACCCCTCCCTAAATCTAATTTTCCCTCACTTTATTTCCTTACCTAAATCTGAAATCGTGATTTGATTCTTCTTTCTTATTTCAAATATCTCCTAAAATAAAATCCTAGCCTCATTATAAATAGAGGATGATGTGTTTAGAGTTAGGGGTCTTGTTTTGATATATGAAGTCAGGTTTTAGCCTTAGTATTTTCCATTCGAGGATTGTATCCGACAGCGAGGCAGTGCACCAGCTATCCCTCATCCAAAGTGGTGATTCTCTCCACGGATCTGGGTGACGCTTCGGCTGTAGCTCGACCCCGTCTAGATATTTATCTATCCTTCCATCCCTTCTATCGTTGTTAAACCGCTTCCCAGCCCTACAACAGACCAATGCACCTCTTCCCTAGCAACCGTTGGCTGTTTTCCTGCCTCCAACCGCTCCTAAGAGCCTCCTGATTGGCCTCCTTATTGTTGTTTCTCGTCCCCTGCACATTCGACAGTGCCCCCGATTCCTCCCAGCAACCGCAATACCCCTTACCGACATTCTTTGGGTCAGCCTTACTCTTTCTGCTGATACTCCCTGACTCCAGTATCCCTAGAAGCTCCCAGACTCCCCCCTACACCCTTGCAAGCCGCCGACCAGCCTCCCCCCTGCACCCAAACAAGTGCAGCCCAGCCTCTTCCTCCCTCTAACCTGCCGCTAGCCTTCTCCCAGCAAGGCCGCAACTCTCCATACTCCTCCATTCCGGATTTCTTACTCATCATGTTTGTTTGTGTCGTCTTTGCTGTGTTGTGTGTTTGCTTTTGTCTTGTACCATTGCTTTGGGTGGTTGTTCTCTTTACTTGAGTTTTCATTGCAGCCTCATTTAGCTCATTTAGAGTCAGTCAAATCAAACCAAATGACAATAATATTCGTATTTTAGAGTCATGGTTTGGGTCAACTCAGGTATCAAAACATTTAAACCTTAGACAAATAGATACAACCTCTGATGCCAAAACTAATCAAACCTGAGGTAACATAAGCAAATTTCATTAAGCAAATGATTAGGATTACAAGCATGACTCAAAATAGAAATAAAATTGCAACAAACACTAATCTCTGACCAGGGCCAAAAGAGAAGATCTGAGGGCAGCGGTGGCGGCGGTGAAGGTGGTTGAGAGTAGTAGTGGTAGGGGGACGTGGAGGATATGGTTGGAAGGTGGGGTTTATGGTGGCTGGTGGTTAGGAGGGGAAAAGGGGGGAAAAGGTGAAGGGCAGCTGCACAGGGAGAGGGGGAAATAGCAAGGTTGAGGGTTGCAAGTGGGCAACAAGGTTGGAGAGGGAAGTGGTTGGCTGGCGACAGGAGGTTCGGGTGTAGCAGGTGTAGGTTGTAGGCTACAACAAGCTGTCAAGGAGTTAGCTGACTGTTTGAGGGCTGGATGAGGAAGGGAAGGTGCAAGTCTGCGGCTGGTGGAGGTAGAGAATATAGTACGGAGGAAATCTAAGAGGATACAACACCTCAGAGCAAAATGGAGCCGAAGCACCACCTGTAGCAAAATATAGCCCTAGCAAAGGGGAAGAAGACTCCACACAATCTGAAAACAGAAATCACACATAACATAACCCTAATTCCAACAAACATACATATAAATAGAGTTGAATAGGTTGGAAACTCAAAAGGAAAAGACGAAAGCAATGGACGACAATTCCAAAGCTGTCTGGTTCATCCAGCCAACTCAAGCTCCTCTCAGCCTGCGTTAACTTCGAGTCTTTTAGGAAAAGCTCATGGAGAGGTCACATAGTGTTGTATTTTGAAGTCATTAGAAATATAATGTATATGGTATAATTTGAAAAAAAATTAATTTAAAAAAAAACTAATTCAACAAGTAACATATTCATTTTTTTCCCTTTCTTCAGAAAGAAAACTTCAGTGAATTGAGCTGAGAAGTAATCATCCCTTGGTGTCATAAACCTATGCATGAAATTGTGCATTTCACTTTTGAAAACTAATGATGATATTTTTGATATGATATTAAATAATTGAGTGGTATATATTTAAATATGAATGATTATGTGTTAGATATGTCAATACAAAAGAATAATGTGTTAAGCATGTAAACGAAAACAACAAAGCCTTAATCCCACTACGTGGGGTCGGCTACATGAATCCTTTTTCTCCATTG